CCTAAATTAGTCAACCATTGCTTATTTAGACCAAGGCTTACTGCTTAAGAATAATGACCAGTAATCCGTAAGGTGAAAAAAACTAAGATTCCATCACATGACAGCCACACATTCAATGATGGTACTGCCACCCTCATGTCTGTTTAAAGGAAACGCTAATCCGAACTGACGTGTGACAATACTCTCCTCGCCTTAATAAGGCCACATATGAGGCGCTGGCAAGAGGTGGAGGAGAGGCAGAAGCAGGACTCCAGGGAGTGAGGGATAGGGAAGGGAGCCAGGAAAGGAGGCTATACAAAGTCACCAGAAAACAGAGGAAGAGAGAGGATGGCCAGGTTCCAAGGATCAATCGCGGGGTCTTGCTGTCAGCTGCCATGGGCTGGGAGGTGACCGATGAGCAGGTGAACCCCAGCTCTCTGTGTGTACTGTGGTTTAGTCTGGCATCAATGACAAAAATGTGCCCGAGAGTGCAGCTCTGTGACGCTGTAAAGTTCTCACAAGCTTTGCTGGCCAACGTCTTTCTGCAGCTCCCACCCCAAAGTGACAAAGCAACCCAAGTGACCTCCCCGGTATCAAGAATCAGAGAGGCCAGGGCTGGCGCCAAGGTGTAATGGGACAAGCATCCACCTGAGGCACAAGCATCCCAAAGGGGCACCAGTTTGAGTTCTGGATGCTCCTCTTCTAATCCAGCTCTCTGCCCACAGCTTGGGAAAGCAGTGGAAGATGGACCAAGTCCTTGGGCGCCTGTACCCGTGTGGGAGACCCACAAGAAGCTCCTGGCTCTGGATTGGCACAGCTCTGGCCATGATGGCCATCTGGAGAGTGAACCAGTGGATGAAGATCTTTGTCTCTCCCTCTGTAACTCTGCCTCTCAATAAATAAATCTTACAAAAAAAAAAAAATCAGAAGCCAACCAAAATGCTGGAGGAGACCAGAACCCACACCTAAGTGGGGAGGACTAAGGAAATCTTTGAGTTATCGGAGGTACCAGAGAAACCAACTTGCACAGAGGGAAACGAAATTTCTCCAAGAAATGCACTTCTGCTGGCACTCAGGATGCAAGGAGGAGCCCACAGAACGGTGAACTGGATCTGGCCCTGTCTACACCGTCATTTGACACTCAGAGGCAGGGCTCACCAATTACCAGGGAAGAGGAACTGGGGGTGCAGGGAGCACCTCTAGATGGAGACCGGTGGTGAAGAAGACAAAAATCAACTCTCTTGACAAAGACTAGTGACTTCAACCTCAACTCTCAAACCTTGTACTCTAGCTTCAGCACTCCCTCCCTCCTTCCCTCATGTGCACACTCGGACTCTCCCCCAAGGACTACCCAGGTCAGTGCAACCTTACAGAGCCCTGGAGATTTCCCAGGGACTTCCACATCCTATCGGTTTTATCTACAATGTACTTCTGTGGTTAGACTCCCCTGGAATGCCCACAGGACTTGTACCTGGGGGCCAGGTAGATGTAAGAGGCATTCCTGTTAGGCTGCATACAATGGGTCTAAAGCAACCCTAGCCCAACAAGGATGCTCCAACAGAAGGTCACGAGAGCAGAATTACCACTTCACCGTTCTCATTCCTCTTTGCACCTGCAATGATCTTTCTTCATGGCGACCAGAATCTAAAGGCCACACTGGTTCCTTCCTCTCGGCCACGCTCCTGGCCAAGAATGGAATGGGCCATGCCTGGCCGTCATGCCCGTCTGTCCCTTCTTCATGTCATTCCTTAGGAAACCGCACTCACATCATCCTAGAACAGAATTCTTCTGGGAGCCACTCTGCATTGTTCTAGACTTCTATTCCTGGATGCATCCGATACAATACACCTATTTGCTGCCCTCATATCCATCTTGACAGCAGGTCAGTGAAGAATGGCCATCCCCTTAGTTTTTCAATCCTCAGGTCTCCCTTTACCCTGAAATCAGTTTCTTTTCTTTTTGTCCCACAGCACCCTACACATTCACCTGAAGTAGCAGCTTTAGGTCCACCGTGTCCGTCAGCCTAATAGGAGGCAGCCTTAGCGTCAGGACTTCAGAGGCCCTCAGGGGGCCGCCACCCAAAAACCACCTATGCTGCTAATCCGCCAGCCCACCCACCCCCAGTGTTCCTGCTGATTCAATTACTTTGGTTCCAATCCTAGGGCTCGAGGTGGCTTCAGCTAAAATACCTCCAGAAGACAAGTCACAGCCAGCCATTGGTTCCACAGCTAGAATGAGACTGTTTTCTAAGAAGACAAAAAGACAGCAAGTGGGGCACCAGGAGAGAGGAGGCAGAACAGCTGGGACAGGAGCACAGGCAGGCAGGCAGACAACCAGGTGCTGCATATGTAAGATGGGCTGTTATCAAGAACCCCTGAGCAAACGCACAGGTGAGCTGAGCGTGACGCCCAGCACACGGCACACACACACACAGGCATCGGCTGTTAGTGTCACAGCCAGTGCCAGTGGACGAGAGTCACCCGGGGAGTGTGCCCCAGCCTGGCTGCAGCCCAGGCCTCACTCCAGACTACAGATCAGATATTCCAAGTGTATGGCCCTGATACTTGTATTTTCTTTCCTTTTCCCCCCAGTAAGCCTCGTAGGGGACTCTGATGCAAAGTACCACAGGAACCAACGCTACAAAGCACTACTTCTCAGATTGTAACGCGCATTCACCCCACCTAAGGAGCGCCTCAAAACGCAGGTGCTGATTCCCAGAGTCGAACAGGCTCTCGGGTGTGCCGGCCCTGCTCAGCTGCAGGTGGTGCTTGGAATAGCAGGGACACGAGGGTACTTCGGAAAGTCCATGGAAAAAGGAATTAAAGATTGGTTAATATGGGACACATATTCAGAAAATTCTTGAGATCCATGCATACAAGGGGTCTGCAAAAACCTCACAGAAAATGGCCATTAGGGGGGAAAAAAAGCACAGACTTCAAATTTTTTTGCATCAGAATAAACTGATCTTTTGATTCCATTTTCCATGAATTTTTTAAAAGATTTGAAAGAGTTATAGAGAGGCAGAGGCAGATCAAGATCTTCCATCTGCTGGTTCACTTCCTAAATGGCTGCAACAGCTGGAGCTGGGCCAATCTGAAGCCAGGAGCCTCTTCCAGGTCTCCCATGCAGAGACAGGGACCCAAGCACTCAGGCCTACTGCTTTCCCAGGCTGCAGCAGGGAGCTGAATCAGAAGTGGAGCAGCCAGGACTCGAACCAGCTCCCATATAGGATGCCGGCACTGCAGGTGACAGCCTTACCCACAGCACCACAGCACCAGCCCCTCCATGAATTTTTGAAGTGCCTGCATATAGAAAGTATCACAAGAGAGAACAGGGGTGATTAAAAAAAAAAAAAAAAGAGACGAGTAAGGGGCAGGCATTGTGGAATAGCAGTTAAGCCCCTGCTTGGAGCGTCCATATCCCGTATCGCAGCACCTGGCTCGAGTCCTGGCAACTCTGCTAACGCAGACTGGGAGGCAGGGGAGGATGGCTCAAGGATTTGGGCCCCTGCCACTTGTGTGGGAGACCTGAATGGAGTTCCAGGCCCCTGGCTTCAGCCTGGCCCAGCCATAGCTGTTGCAAGCACTTAGGGAGTCAACCAATAGATGGAAGACCGTTCTCTCTGCAGCTTGTAAAAAGTTTAAAAAAAAAAAAAAAAAAGTAGAGGGGACAAAACACAACGAAGCCACGAAGAAGACCTAACTCCTAGGCTGGCACATCCAGCATCATGATATGACACAGGGAAGAACAAACAGCCTGGTGCCCAGCCACTTCTCAGCACGCCTAAGGAAGGGCTTGAGCCGTGAGCTCCCCCACTGCCCAGAACTATTTAAATGCTTCCCTGCTTCTGACCACCACCTCTCTCCTTGGCCCCAACCACCCCTCCGCGGTGAAGCCCCTCCTAACTAAATCCTTAGTAGCATACAGACTGAAAAAGACCCCTTCCTTCAATGGCAAGGTCTTTCTGTAAAGATGGGACTTTCTATTCACCCTCGATTCCTTTGCTTGCCTGTTCCATTTCACCAACTCAGATCACCGTCCTCGGCCACTTACTTCATCCCCGGAGCCAGGACACCAAAGGCTGCCGCCCATCTATGGGGAACGGCGGTAACCAGGCCACCACCACAGGTGCCCGTCGGCACCTAAAAACTCTGCCCAGGGCACTGCCAACAGAGCACCGCCACTCTCCGACGGCACTGCGTCTAGCCCCCTGGGTTTAGTAATCGTGTTCTGAAAACCCCAACCACTGCTGGAACCAACACGGAGGGAAAAAAGCGGCTTCCGCCTCCTCGTGGGCTCGCGCTAGGGCGTGGTTTGCAATCGTGGCCGAACTTCAGCCACCTGGGACCCTCCCACCAGGCTCTCCCAGCCCCACTCTGATTTAACTATCTGAAGCGGAACCTGGTGGTGCGTGGCTGAGCGCGAGCATGGCTGCCCTGGGGAAGCCACACTGTCCCTAACTAGGAACTTGGAGGGAAGATGCTGCCCCTCCCCCGTGAACGCAGCAGCCCTGGTGGAGGAGACTGGGAGAGGCTGGCTTCCACCCCGAGCTCCTTGCTTTCTGTCCTGGTTCCCACAGTGAGGATAAGGGGAGGCCAGTTCTAAAGATGTCACAATTTATGGTTTATCCACTTCAGCCTTGGAAAAGCTGGGTCCTCCAACAGAGCCGAGTTCAGAGCAGCTGCTGGCTCTCAGGAGAATCACCCGCTGGCCAAGGCCAGGGAGAAGAATCCAGCTGCCTTGCTCCTCCACCTCTGCTACAGTCTTCTCAGGACACATTTTTACAATACGCCAATTAAAAAAAAATACACACATACTCATTTTTTTTTCCAAATAATGACTTCAGGATAGCAAACAAAGCAAAAAACTCAACCAAAGAATGCAGGAGAATTTTTCTGACTTCATCCCTCCCTTCGAGATGGGATTCGGCTACACAGACTCGGCTTACAAATTCTGAACTATATCTAATGGAATAGAAAATTATTATCACATGCTATAAATAAATGGGGTTTATTTCACTAAGGAACTTAAGGCCTTCAGGAAACAGCTGTAGTACCCGCCAAGCGGCCCCTGTAAAGGAAAACACCATACCTGATCAGATCTGGCTCTGCGCCCTCATTCTTAAAGGATGCCAGGAGCAGTCTCTCCCGAGTTACGAGGTCGTCCAGCAGGTTCTGTCTTCGATCGCCTTCCAGCTGAGTTCTGTAGACGTCACGTTAAGGTCCAATGGTGGATGAGTTACCTCGTTTCCCCTGGGAGGAACTCCCAAGGGCAGTTCTTGCTTTTTTTTTTTTTTTTTTTTTTTCCAGACTAATTACACTACCCAGAGGAGACCTGAACCACCCTTCTGCATACCCTGCTCGGACCTTCAACTTCACTGGTTCTGCAGCTAAAGTACCCTGACATAAGTACTACCACAGAGGGACTTACACACATAGACCTGGATTGCTGTGCAAGCTCTTTTTTTTTTTTTTAATTTAATTTATTTGAAAGGCAGAGATACAGAAAGAGAATCTTCCATCTGCTAGTTCACTCCCCAAAATAGCTGCAATGGCTGGAGCTGGGCTGATCCGAAGCCAGGAGTCAGGAGTTTCAGCTGGGTCTCCCCTGTGGGTGCAGAGTGCTTTTCCCAGGTGCATTAGCAGGGAGCTGGATGGGAAGTGGAGCAGCTGGGACTTGAACCGGCACCGATATGGGATGCTGTCGCTGCAAGCAGAGGTGTAACCGTCTATGCTCCTGTGCACGTTCTTTCACTGAGAAATGCTCTAGGTACACAGGGTTTTCTTCCCAGTGACCAGCGCCTAAATGACTTTCTTTTCTATTGATGGGGCAACCTGGCTCAGTGAGTCATTAGGTCTTTTGTTCTTCTTCTTCTTCTTCTTTTTTTTTTTTTTTTTTTTTGATGTATTTATTTATTTGAAAGTCAGAGTTACACAGAGAGAGGAGAGGGAGAGAGAGAGAGAGGTCTTCCATCCGATGGTTCACTTCCTAATTGACCACAATGGCCGGAGCTGTGCTGATCCGAAGCCAGGAGCCAGGAGCTTCTTCCGGATCTCCCACATGGGTGCAGGGGCCCAAGGACTTGGGCCATCTTCCTCTGCTTTCCCAGGCCATAGCAAAGAGCTGGATTGGAAGTGGAGCAGCTGGGTCTCAAACCGGTGCCCATATGGGATGCCGGCGCTTCAGGCTAGGGCGTTAACTCTCTGCGCCACAGCAACAGCCCTGAGTCATTAGGTCTTAAATGACGAGTGTCAGTCCCCTAAGATTTTGTTTCTGGAAAGGGGAGAGGGATGTTCTTTCTTCCATGGTAACACCTAAGTAACATACCTGGAATATATCTGGTAGAAGGTGTTACCATCAGGTCATTACTAAAAGGCACTGTGTGACCTTTAAGGAAAACCACAAAGAAATAACCATATTTTAATGTTTTACTCTAGTGAGCGTCCTAGGCTGGGAGTTTGAAGGGTAGCACTGTGGTCCCCCCCCCCCCACTTTTTTTTGTCTATTGGCTTGAAACACTTATCACCCTAATTTCTTTACCTGCAACACCAGATAATCTCTACTACCTTTTCCAAGACAGTTCATGAGTGAAGGTTAAAAAATAAAATCAGGGCTAAACCTTAAATTTTATATACTAGCTTTCTTGAAGCCACACAAGCTCTACAAGGCTGTATTGTGTGTGTGTGTGTGTGTGTGTGTGTGTGTTTTAAAAAAGGAAATATCAAAGGAGAAATTTTCTGCCACAAAGTGCATGAGTTTTGGAGAAAGCTAACAACGAAACGGACATATCTGATACAGGACACAAAAAGTAATCACAGAAATAAGCCAGCCCTACTCAGTTTTATCTGGTTTTTAATCTTTTTTTATTATTATTAAATTGTCTTTGTTTATTACAGCTGAAAGGCTGGAGGGTCAAAGCAGCCCTGACCACAAGTAACGAGACCCAGTAGCAACAAGACATGAGTGAAACTGCTGCTTTGGACAAAGAAATACTTTTCTTTGTCAAACAGGAAAATAAAACATTGCATCTAGTCTCAAAAAGTTTCTGAGAAACTGGCAGAATCAAGTAGTAGCATCCCCACTGCCCAGGGAATCTGTATTTTGTTGCTAATCTTACACAGACAAGAACAATCTAACTTGGAGCCAGAGTTGTGGGCCCAGAGGGTTAAGCCAGAGCTAGCACATCGTGAGTCCTGGTTCAAGTCCCAGCTGCTCCACTTCCAATCCAGCTTCCTGCTAATGTGCCTGGGAAAGCTGTGAAAGATGTTTCAAGTGCTTGGGTCCCTGATACCCATGTGGGAGGCTGGGATGGAGTTCCTAACTCCTGGCTTTGGCCTGGTCCAGTCCTGGCTACTGTGGCCATTTGAGTAGTGAAACAGCAGATGGAAGATTCTCTCTCTCTCTACCCTCTTCCCCTGCCTTTCAAATACATAAAAAGGAAAAATTATAATCCCCCCTAAACCAATGTAACTGAGCAGTGTTAGCAGCTTTAGGTATTTAAAAAATGAAAAATGAATTCTCTCCACATTCCAGAATGCCATCCCTTCCTGAGTCGGATTACTACCATTACCTTTCTATTTCCTGCTGGAATGATAGTCACTAAACACCTTATCTTGGAGATGTGAAGCAGCAATTGTAACTAAGAAACAGGGAGCTTAAGGGCTTCCTCTACAGTAATAAAACAGCCAAATATTAGCCTTTTTACCAATGCAATATCAAGAATATCGATGTTTTTTTTAAAGATTTTTTTATTTATTTGAAAGTCAGAGTTACACAAAGAGAAAAGAGGCAGAGAGAGAGAGAGAGGTCTTCCATCCGCTGGTTCACTCCCCAATTGGCCACAACGGCCAAAGCTGTACCAATCTGAAGCCAGGAGCCAGGAGCTTCTTCCGGGTGCAGGGGTCCAAGGACTTGGGCCATGTTCTACTGCTTTCCCAGGCCATAGCAGAGAGCTGGATTGGAAGTGGAGCAGCCAGGTCTTGAACCAGCGCCCATATGGGATGCCGGCGCTTCAGGCCAGGGCATTAACCCGCCAGGCCACAGTGCCGGCCCCTCAATGTTTTCCAAAATTAATGGTAAACTGTCAATAAAGCAGAAAGTTTTTCCTCCACATAAAAGAAGCTATGACAAAATCTAAAAAATAACAGAAGGTGTGACAAGAATTACCCAGGCTGGGGCCAGCATTGTGATACAGTGGGTTAGGCTGCCACTTGTCATGCTGGTATTCCATCTGGGAACTAGTTTCAGTCTCACTTGTTCCACTTCTAATCCAGCTCCTGGCTAATGTGCCTGGGAAAACAGCAGAAGTGGATCCCTGCACCCACATTTGGCACCCCAGTGGAGTTCAACTCCTGGTTTTGGCGTGGCCCAGCCCTGGCCATTGCAGTCATTTAGGGAATGAACCAGCAGATGAAAATTCTCTCTTTCTCCCCCGTCCCTCTCTTTAACTGCCTTTCAAACAAATAATATCTATATCTATCTGTCTATCTATTCATCTATCCACCCAGCCTTGTCACATGTACCATGCTCCACCTGCCCTGGCAACCTTTGCATTTTGGGGGATTTCAGTCACCAGCTCCACAAGCAAATATCTGCTGAACTAGAATCCAATATCACAATTAAACACATATGCAAATGGCTCTGTGGTTTAAATATTCAAAAATAAAATTGTGGCTGTAGTATTAGAAGACACAGGAGAATGTTTTAACAATCTGAGTGCAGGAATAATCTTTCCAAGCAAAATTGAAACCCTAGGCGCCATGAAGGAAAACCTAGAAGGTGTCACTATATAAAATTTTAAATAGCTACAAAATAAAATCACAAGTGACCAATTAATAGTGGCAAATGAAAAAAAAAAAGGGCAAAAGACATAACTAAGCATGGAAAAAAGAAACACTAATGTCTTAAATGAAAAGACATTCAGGGGCTAGAGCTGTGGCGTGGAGGGTAAAGCTGCCACCTGCAGTACTGGCATAACCATGTGGCCACCGGTTTGAGACCCAGCTGCTCCACTTCTGATCCAGCCCTCTGCTATGGCCTGGGAAAGCAGTAGAAGATGGCCCAAGTCCTTGGGCCCCTGCACCTGCGTGGGAGACCTGGAAGAAGCTCCTGGTTCCTGGTTCCGGATCAGCCCAGCTACAGTCATTGCAGCCAATTGAGGAGTGAACCAGTGGATGAAGACCTCTCTCTCTCTCTCTTTGCCTCTCCTTCCCTCTCTGTGTAACTCTGACTTGCAAATAAGTAAATAAATCTTAAAAAAAAAAAAAAAAGATATTCAGTTTCATGTTAGTTAAAGAAATGTAAGATGCCACTTTGCCCTATCAGGCTGGGAAAGGGTAACAAGGCACCCTTGGAAGTGGATGAGGAACAAGGCACTCACCTTCTGGGGAGAAGGTAAACAGGCCTCACCCACTGCCAGATTGCCTTCTAAACGTCTAACAAAATGTAAGAGGCACATTCCTCTCAACAGACATTTCTCCTGCAGGTACATTCACATACCTGTACGGGGACTTAGCAGTGAGGATGTTCACTGCGGTGTTATTTATCTCCACTTACTGCTGGAAGCATCCTAAATGTCCATCAATAAGAAACAACTGAACAGCGCCGCGGCTCAATAGGCTAATCCTCCACCTTGCGGCGCCGGCACACCGGGTTCTAGTCCCGGTCGGGGTGCCGGATTCTGTCCTGGTTGCTTCTCTTCCAGGCCAGCTCTCTGCTGTGGCCCGGGAGTGCAGTGGAGGATGGCCCAAGTGCTTGGGCCCTGCACCCGCATAGGAGACCAGGATAAGCACCTGGCTCCTGGCTTCGGATCAGCGCAATGCGTTGGCCACAGCGGCCATTGGAGGGTGAACCAACAGCAAAAGGAAGACCTTTCTCTCTGTCTCTCTCTCTCTCACTGTCCACTCTGCCTGTCCAAAAAAAAAAAAAAAAAAAAAAGAAACAACTCTGCATCTCTACAATGGAATGTGTTGCAGGCTAAAAAAGTTGTTTACGCACTGACGATGATGATGATAATTCACTTTTCTGAGAACTTACCAAAACACAGGGATTACTTGGTATGGATTAATCTCCAAAAGAAAAAACAAAGCAGAAGCAACAAGTGGCTGAGCAGTGAACATTATGCTAATACCAAGTTAAGAAATGAGTGGGGCCACGTGGAGCCTACAGGTAACATGATGGTTGGCACGCCCACACACCACGCT